GCTAGTGTGTGTCTCCTTAAGAGCGTTCCCTCTGGGGGGCAGGGATGGGCACTCCTGGGCCACCTCCGGCACTGTCACGGTGCACACGCAGCTGGGATGGACTGAATGAAGGGACCCTAGTTTAGAGGATTTAATAGCTGAATTTCAGTTGTCTTTTGATTAAAGTGAAAATATAAACCTTTCTCAAGCCCAATGAGGCCATAATAAAATCAGTCAAAACTTTGAATTTCAGAGTTACCAGTGAAAAAAGCCAAGTTTTCCTCTAGCAAAGGATGAGCGGACCCAAGCTCGGCGTTCCTCGGTGCCCACAGGCTGTCCTATTCTGATATTAAGGCTGTGAATTGATTAAAAAGTAGTAAGCACCTACTTAGATCTTTTTGAGTACCTAGGAAACCTCTCTTAGGGCTGTGTTAGTGAAGCCTTTCACTGAGCAAGACTCAGTTTTTACCTTTAATATTTTTTTAAACACAGCCTTATTTCACACATTGGACTGACTAGAGAGTTCTGAAATTTCTGGCATCTGGGTGCTTTTGAATTTTAAGGAGGTAAGTGGTACGAATACGAAGTTAGGGTTGCTGGATAATATTACTTCCTCTGGACGGTGGCAGGAAACCACGGAAGCTGCACACGTGTTTGGAAGAAGTCACTCTCAAGCAGGAATGATTTGAATGGACTGAGAAAAAAGTCACCTCATGATATGTGAAAAGAACCGTGCTTCTAGAACTTGTATTAGTTGACTCAAGAAAAGAAAAAGTGATGTGACAAAATGGCAGACCGCTGGAGCATGTGCCTAAAGGACCCACCCCAGGGTGGGAGACAGGGGACCCTTCTGATGTTCAATCAGGATGCGGCTGGGGATGTGGGGCTGCTGGGCTGCGGGGAGGGTGAAGCTGACAGGCGTCCCAAGCCGCATGGCGGTCTCCATCGCACCATTAAACTAGTGATTTGCAAGGCAGTGACTTTAGACGCAGCAACTAAGAAGGGAGTCACCTGCTTTAACACGTCAGCAGGAACAAGGTCATGATTTTGGGAAAATGTGCGATCCCCCGCTTATTAGGGGGGAAAGGGCATGCTTCAAGGGCCAGACCCACACTCCCGTATGTGTAAGAAACGCATTCCGGAGCAGCCAGCTCAAACCTTTCCTAGAGCTGCCGTCAGCACCTCTGTGTAAATGAGCCCACGAGAGCCAGCCCTGTTATCTCACAGCCACCGGCCCTCAGTTTTGACCTGGTAAGAGTATAACTCACCTTTTCATAGCAGCATGTAAACGTATGAATACGGCAGCATTCATTACACATTACCTTTGAGAGATAATACTCTTTTGTGTAAGTTCTACTGGCCTAAGAAAATACCATTTCTTAATTTTGCTTAATGCTCCAGGGTAGGGTTTAGCAAACTAAGACCCACCTGCTGCTTGTTCTGTTAATAAAGTTTTATTGGAACAGAGCCACACCCACTCCCGCACGTGCTCCCACGGCTGCTGTCATGCCACAACAGCGGATTAAACAGCTGCAGCCAAGGTCCTAGTGCCTGCAAAGCCAAGAATAGCCAGTCTCTGGTCCTTCACACAAAAGGTTTGCTGCCTTCATTCTAAAGAACATGGTGTCAGTTGTTGAGGCTGCTATTTTAGAAGAAAAAAGAAAATCTACCTCTGCTTTTACATTACAGTTCTTAAACTAATTGAGAAACTATTTTTACAATATGTTCAAGATATATGCTCTATTTGTGACTATATGGCCTGGTAGATTATTTTTACAATAATTCTTATCTTCATCATCTTCTCTCTTAAGAAATTTAAAAAAAAAAAAGCAAATTAAACCCAAAGCATGCGAAGGAAGGAAATAATAAAGATTAGTGTGAGGGGAAAAAAAAGAAATGGACACCAGAAAAACAATAGAGAATATTAACGAAATCAGAATTGATTCTTTGAAAAGATCAACAGAGGGGGATAAACTTTTAGCCAAGAAAAAGAGTAAGAAAACATATATACTAAAATCAGGAATAAAAGAGTAGACATTACTACCGAACTTACAGAACTTAAAAGTATTATAAAGAGATACTATCAACAACTGCATGTCAACAAAATCAGACCACTCAGCTAAAATGGACACCTTCCTAGAAAGACAAAAATTACTAAAACTGTCTAAAGGAGACTAGAAAACCTGAATAAACCTATAACAAGTAAAGAGGTTGAATTAGTAATTAATTCCCACAAAGAGAAACCCAGGCACAGCTGGTTTCTCTAGTGAATTCTACAAAACGTTGCTGAGTACAGGCTGAGGAGAGGAAGTCTGGTAAATAATACCAAATCTTCACAGTCTCTGAGAGAAGAGGAAGAAAACTTCATGACTCATTATGTGAGGCCAGCATTACCCTGATACCAAAGACAGACATCACAAAAAATGAAAACTACACAGAAATATCCCTCATGGATATAGACGCAAAAGTCCTCAACAAAACATTACAACTAAATACAGCAACAGCAATACTTAGAAAGTATTATGAACAATGATCACCTAGAACTCACCTCAGCCATGTAAGATTGGTTTGATATCCAAAAATAAACTGATATAATACACTATACTTACAAAGGACAAAAACCGTACGATCACCTCAAGAGGTGCAGAAAGAACATTTGACAAAATCGAACATCTAATCATGATTAAAACTCTCAATAAACCAGGAAGAGAAGGAAACATCTTCAACCAGATAAAGGGCATTTACAAAAAAACCTACAATTAACACGTGTCATAACCTGATGGTGAAATAATGAATGTCGCCACTTTAGGTCAAAACCATGAGAAGGACGTTTTTCTCACCAGTGCTTATTCAGCACCGTCCTGGATGGAGGATCTAGCCAGTGCAATTAGGCAAGAAAAAGAAATATAAGGCATCCAGACTATAAAGAAGGAAGAAACACTGTCTTTACCCTTGGGGACGTGATTTTATATGCAGAGAATTCTATGGAATCTACAAAACAACTACTACAGCTATTAAACACGTCCAGTGAATAAAAGATCAATGTACAAAAACCAACTGTACTGACAGATACGAGCAATAACAATCTGAAATGAAACTAAGAAAATACTTAAATCTACGACAGCATGAAAAGTAAAATATTCAGAAATAAACTTAAGTTCAAGAATTGTACACTGAAAATTACAAAGCACTGCTGAGAGAAATTAAAGTTCCAAATAAACAGATATCCTGTATCATGAATTGAGAAACTTAATATTGTTACCATAACAATACTTGCCATGCTGTTCTACAGATACAGTGCAGTCTATCAGAATCCCAGCTGATTTTTGGTGGGGAAGGGGCTGTGTGGGAGAGACAGAAACTGACAAGCTGATCCTAAAACTCATAGGGGAATACAAATGACCCAGGATAGCCAAAACAATCTTGAAAACGGAGAACGAAGCTGAAGAGCTCACACTTCTCAACTTCAAAATCTGCTACAAAGCTACATTATTCAAGACTGTGGTTCTATATAAGACAGCAGCTACCGAGTTCAATGGACTGGAACTGAGAGTCCAGAAAGGAACCCCTAGGTTTACGGTCAACTGATTTCAACAAGGATGCCAAGACAATTCAGTGGAGAGCGAAAAGTCTTTTTAACAAATGAATGCTGGGGCTGATAAATATCTACATGCAAAAGGATGAACTTGGCCCCTTATCTGATATGATACACAAACATTAAAAATACATGACAGAGGTAAAACTACAAAACTTAGGAGAAAACACAGGTGTAGATCTTCATGATCTTGAGTCAGGTCATGATTTCTCAGATATGGTATCAAGAGCACATAAACCAGACTTTAAAATTAAAAACTTCTGTACTTCAAAAGAAACCATTAAAAATGTGCAAAGACAAGCCACAAACTGGGAGGAAAAGCATTTGCAAATCATATATACAGTAAAGGACCTGTATCCAGAATGTATAAAAACCTCTCACGACTCAGTAAGAAGACAAACAACCCAATTTAAAAATAGGCAAAAGATTCAAACAGGCATCTCACCAGCAAATATATGCGAATGGCCAACAAACACAAGAAACACTTACCATCCTCAGGGAAATGCAGATCGACACCTCAGCGAGATACCCCTTCACATACACGAGAATGGCTTTTACGAAAATAAAAGAGTATCGTATCAAGTGTCGGCGAGGGCACGGAGAAGCTAAAACCCTCATGTGTTGCTGGCTGGGAACGGAAGACGGTGCAGCCACTTTGGAAACAGTTTGAGAATTTCTTAAAAAATTGAACATGGATTTACCATGTGAGCCAGCAGTTCCACATCCAAGAGAAAGGAAAATGTACAGGTCCCTACAAAGACTTGTATGTAAACGTTCAGAGCAGCGGCATTCATGATAACCGAAGTGGAACTAGTAGATAAATCAGTGCAACACGTGGCCTATCCTTACAATGGAGCAGTATTCAGCAGTAAGAAAGAATGAAGCAGGAACACACGCTACAGCATGCACAAACCTCAGAATTACCATGCTAAGCAAAGAAGCAGACACAAAAGGCCACATGTTGTAAAATTCTGTTTATATTAAAAGTCCAGAATAGGCAAATCTATAGAGACTGTAAGTGACGTAGTGACTGCCTGAGGCTGGGGGTAAGAGGCGGGGGTGACTGCAAATGGGCGGGAGGTTTCTTCTGGGGGTAACGGAATTGTCTGAGACGGATTATGATGATGGCTGTACAACCATACAACTACACTAAAAATCACTGAACTGTGTGCTTTAAATACTATGTAAATTATACCTCAAAAAGTTGTTTAAAAAGTTGAATTTAAAAAATTTCTAAGTACCTGTACAAACCCTTCTGTGATGCCCTCTTTCTCTGGACATTATCTCTATGCTGAGGGGACCCGCTCCCCTGGAGGGAAGGAGAAAGCAGAGCCTGTCTGGGCGATTACCTGCTCAGGGCCACCTGCTGCGCATAAGGAGTGAGTCACGTATGCCCTAAAAAGGTTTCAGGAAGCTCTAAGGTCAATCTTTTAAAAAATTTAATAGCAAAATAATAATAATAATAAAAGGACACCATCAATGACGTAATTTGGGCTACTTTAGAAAACTCACTGCTGAAACATCGACATTCTGAAAAAGATGCTTTCCTGTCAAGAGATTATTCAGCAGTATTTACACTGACCGGGCACCTACACATCTCGGTTTAAAAATAAATGGAGCCCCAACATGTGCTAACAAGGCTTAACCTTCTACCTGTTATTAGCTTGTGGTTAATACGCACAACTTTCAAGGGGCCTTAGTGTTGTTTCACTTCTGACTTCCACTTTTCAGTGAGGAGATTCTCGACCCTGAAGGCACTCCTAGCCCAGTGCCCATCTTCAGACACGGGACTCACCCCTTCTGCTGAGGACACAGGAGTATCAGATGATGTGCTGGATCTGAAGCTGATAACCATTAAAAGACAATATAACTGAGCTTTCCTAAAATAAACCATTTATTGAAAAAAGAACCTTTTTCTTAAATTTCATTAATCAGCCTTTTGCATAACAAACCCGCGGCTTGCCAACAACAACAAAAGGTCAGGTTTCACAGTCAGTGCACTCGACAAACAGGGGATTAACAAGGCCCAGGACGCCTGATAACACTACAACTGCTTTTGAACCTAGAAAGGTCAAAAATACTACTCTGATGTCACGATTCTCAGTCCCCCGAGACACGGAGGTGACAGAGGCGACGGTCCGTGTACAGTAGTAATGGCACTTAACACGCAGCTTCTCTACCTCGTGGACACCGTCGCTCAGGAGGGTCCGTGCCACAACGAACAAACAGGAGCAGCAGGAGGAGTGACGCTCGTCACCTGTGCAGTCTTCAGTCTTGGAAGGTTAAAAAGTCTTATACCTCTTCCCAGCACAGTCTTCATGTAAATATTACATACAGTAGTGATTAGAGAATTTTCCGAGTACACACACCACTAGGCCACAGACTGATGAGCTTCATTCTTCATCTGTGCAAACCTGCGAGGAAGCAGGAGAGAGCTGAGCTGAGCCCCATTCACGCGGCCTCACAGGTAAGTCACCACCCACGCACCCTGATGCCCCCGCACCGTGCCGGCCAGAGGGGAGGCTGAGTCCAGTGAACGTCAGTGCTGAGCGACTGCTCTAGGGACTGCCTACTGAAAGCGTTCTTAAAAATGTATCTGTACCATATCAAGTCAATATAAACTGGGTCCTTTACACGTCTTCTCTAGGGCTCCATTTTCATTCCATTTCTCCTCTAAATACTCTCCCCAGCAATGCTTCTGTCTCCCAAGTCTGTATCCCACCCCAATTCTTTCGAGTGCCAGCCCCAAATATCCAAATGCCTGTCTGAAATCCCCAGGCAGATGTTCCAAATACACCTCAAACTTAATCTGCCTAAGAGGAAACCATCATCTCCCTGACCCAACCCTCAACCAGCTGCCTTCGACCTGTCTTGGTGAATGAAATCTGAGAAGCTGGTGATGCCCGGGAGCCGCCCGGACTCCTCCCTGGCGCTCACCTCTCACATCCAGTTACTCACTCACGGCCATCTTAACTCCTATGTTATCCCTGATAACCCATCCCTGACCTCCCACTCCCAACCCATTAGCTGTATCAGCAGCTTCCAACTAGTCTCTTGCCTCCAGGGTGACTGTGCTAAAACACAGTTTAATCATGCGATGCTTACAGTGAAGCTGAAATCCCTTCACGTGGTTCCTGCTTCCTTTCCCAGCCTTACCTGTCGCCATTTGCCACAACCTGTGCTCCGTCAGTACTGACCTGTACACACTTCCTTGACCGCTGGTGCGCCTGTCCACGTCTCTTCCACTCCGACTGCCACACTCCTCCCTGTTTCCTGACATGGCTAAACCCTCCCAAACAGCTCGAGCACCTCATTCTAAAGAAAGGAACAGCTGGGACTACCTGGCTGTATTAAATTCCTCTTCTCAGTGACCCTGCGACACGGGATCATACCATGACCACAGCTCTGCCGCATGCTCGGTCATGACTGACCTGCGGCCGCTCTCGGTAGAGATGAGTCATTACTGACCCTGTCCTCAGGTAGACTGCATACTCTCAAGAGGAAAAACCACGTCCTTCATCCAGTCCCATTTAAAATCCCATTCAACAGTCCCCAGTGCACCTCAGACCACTGAAATGGAGCAAGGAGGAGAACCTCAGGAGCATTTTCCAGAAGGAAAAACAGATACAAATTTCCTGGCATAAGACATTTAGTTCCTTCCCATTTCAGATACAGATGTTCTAAGTTTCCAAATTTCCTTAAGTGCCAGATGCAAAATACTCAAACACGGAGAGGACTGTACAGCAGCCTGCCAGACCTTGACGAAGGAGTGGTCCAGGAGCTGGCTGGCCGTCCACCGCCTCCGCGGCTCGCTTTCCAGGCAGTGAGACAGGAAGTCCTTTCCTTCCGGGCTTAATCTCTCAGGGATTGGAGGCTTATGCCCCATCCCCACTTTGTACATGATCTGAAAGTTGTGTTCATATTCATGCCAAGGTCTCTAAAACAGAAAGAAAACCAGGTTTTAATGTTACATGGCCACAGAAAAAGGCAACTGCCCAGTCTCTTCGGGCATCTCAATATTAACACACATCGGGGCTGGCAAACTTTTACTTAAAGGGCCAAACGGTAAATCCTTTAGGTCTGCAGGCTGTCCGGTCTCTGTCACGATTCAATTCCCCCACTGCAGCATGAAAGAAGCACAGGCCAGACCATGTGCCAATAAAACTTCACTTATAAAACCAGGCGGGGGGCAGAGTCTGCCTGCCCCATTTGAATGCCCTACTAGTCCAGCATTATCTAGATGCCATCACTATGCAAATGAACAAATGAAATACATAAAATAATATTAAAATGTCAATAAAACAAAATTCAACAGTTATCTTTACAGGAAGGTTTAATATGCTGCCTTGTTCAATAATCAGCATCAAATTCCTTTAGTGCAAAGCTGATTATGGGGGCAAGAGCTGGGTCTGTGTGGCGTTCTCCTCTGTGCACCAGCGCTCAGTCATTGTGGTACGTCCTCCTCAGTGTGAGAACTGGCTCTGTTCCTGATGTATGGATTAACTGAGATAGCAAGCACTGCGGGCTCCTTTCTGTATTCACACTAGCAGAAGTAACACCAGCTAACATTTATTCTGCACTTACTCTTTTCAGCAGCTGTAAGGTGTAGCTGGATGGAAATTTAATTTCCTACCAATAAGACTTAGGAAGTTTCTAACATCCCTGCTTTTTAAGTAGTGCCATGCTCGCACACGCACTGTGCCTTTATACGTTTGTATAATTGTTCATTAGCAGTGTCTTCATCAGAAGATCCATTTTCAGAATTCTCAGATACTGTTTCATGCACAACAGTTTCACTGCCCTAAAAATCCTTGTGTTCTACCTGTCTGTCCTTCCTCCCACTCCCAGAGCTCCTGGCAACCACTTATCCTTTTCTGCCTTTATTGTTTCACCTCTTCTGGAATGTCGTGTCGTTGGGAGTCATACGGCACGTGGTGTTTTTAGATTGCCTTCTTTCACTAAGCAGTATGCTCTTAAGGTTCCTCTGTGTGGTTTCATGGCCCAATTTCTTTTTGTTGCTGCATAATATTCCATCATGTGGATTACCACAGTTTGTCCATTTACCTCTTGAAAGATATCCTGGTTGCTTCCAACTTTTGGCAATTATGAGTAAAGCTGATATAGGCAGTCATGGCCACTTTGTACGGACATAAGTTCTCAACTTCATGTTTCTTTCCGTAGCTGCTTCCTTCTCTGTGTTTTAATTAGAGCTTTATGCTTTTATTTTGTCGTTCCCCTGAAGAGTTCTCTAAGTCATACATCTGACAAATATTTGGTTCCTAGTTTGTTGCTTGCCCTAACTTATTGTACCTTTGGCAGGTCATGTTCTCTACTCAGCAAGGAGTGTGCCCAGCGTTCATAATGACAGTAACAGCACAACCACTGCCCTGCTGACGTGAAGTCCCTGCTCGGCCTGTCCCCCAGGTGTGGGCCCGGCTTACCTTGCCAGTCACCATCTCTATGACGACACACCCCAGGCTCCAGATGTCGGCTGCGCGCCCGTGGCCTTCTCCTTTGGCGCGAGTGATGACTTCTGGGGCCATGTATGCTTTAAAAGTCACCAGTACAGCGGTAAGAAGGGGTTATGAGTACAGCACCGTGCATTAGCAGAGCCAAACACCACATTAACACGCCTAATATTCCACAGGGAAGAAACTACTGATCTGTCTGGGGGAACCTTCTCTGAATTGCATAATGAAAAATATCAAAACTTGAAAATAAATACTTCAAATCGATTTCTTGAATGGACATTTTAGGAGCCAAATTATTTTCTAAAAGACTATCTGTGCAAAACTTCAGACAAATTGTAAGCACAATGAAAACATGAAATTTAACCCGTAAAAGAAGATATAAAATTTTATGTCATGTTCCTAAACAGTAAAAACAAATCATCACAATTTAAATATAGTATTATTTCAACTAGAATAGTTTCAAAAAACCCAATGTGAATAACAGGTTTTTCTGGGAAGAAAAAGAGGCCTTTCCCCCTCGTCTAACTTCAGGGAGAAATCTGGTCCCGCCACCTGACAGGCACTTTCAGGCACGGGCCCTCCTTCACACGGCTGGAAGCCCGGGCCTGCTCTCCACGTCGGCGGAGCAGGGAGAAGGGAAAGTCTGGGTACTGAGCACACTGGATGAGCCCGGTGCAAAAACAAGTCCAGCCAGACCCACCTGCTGTCCCCAGAGTGCTGTTCACTTCACCAGGCATGGTCTGCGCGTTGTTTTTAAGCTTTACTGAGCATCCAAAATCTCCGAGTTTGATCAGTCCAGATGAGGTAAGGAAGATGTTGGCACCTAACAAGGAACAAGCAGTGTTAGCCTCTGAAACACGATGCAGGCGCTTTAAAGTTGCCATGGTAACCTAAACTTTATAAAGGCTTATAAAACCTTCCTTGCAGAGTGTAATCACAGAAAGATTTTAAGCCTTATTCACAAATGTTAATATAAAGCAAAGAAATTTTACTATCAGTGCATACAGCTTTGACTAATAAATTCTGAACTGAAACATGCATAAATTCTAACATTAAAAGCCCAGGGAGATACCTAAGAAGAAACTACTGAAAAATACAAATGCCCATGGCGGCAGCCCCTGAAAACCAGAGGTCTGCACGGTCAGCAGAGCCTGTTCCAGGCAGCAGCGGGCACACGGAGCAGGGCACGCACTGTGTGCTGCAGAGTCGTGTCTGAGGCCGCCACTAGGTCTACTTCAGACTGTGACCGCAAAGAGCGCTCCGCGACTGCCTCACACTCAACAAGCAGTGTGCATGCCTAATGTGTGCTCCAGCTGGACTCTGGGTTACTGCTCATCCCTCAGGGCAGCTCGGCCTTCTCCCGAAGGCTACAGGACGTTAGCCCTCCAACTGAGCCACACAGCTCAGCACTACGTGTCCGACAGTACCTCCGTCCAAAAGCAGGACAGAGCCAGCCACGTTAGACCACCAGCCACGCGTGAGCTGGAGTCTGCTCACTCTCAGAGCCCGAGTGCCCCCAGTGCAGGTGGTCCCCATGGGGGACCACATGGTGCTAACTCCGTGGTTCTGGAGCTAGCGCACACACGTACACCCATAGCCGTGCTGAGCTACGCAGACTATCCCAAGCACGCGCGTGGACGGCCTGGACTCGGGCTCTCAGGGTTTCTCTCTACAGCCATGGTCAATGACGTGAAGGTCCCATTTCAGGAGTCAGAACAACCAGAAATGGGGAATGCCCTGGCCTGACCAAGAGCCAATTTAGCAAATGCCCAGAATGATCCCAGATGCGAAGCAATGTGGTGGAGGGGCAGGCGGGCAACAAGACTGGTGTGTGCTGGGATCCAGGGTGAGCTGCCGGAGACAGCACTCACTCTAACGGCCAGCAAGGCAGGTTCTGGTGCAACCCAGCCCCTGTGAGTGATGCCTGGTCAGGAGTGAGGCCGATTCTGGAGTGAACCTGTTTAGCGTGGCCTCAGATGACGGCACAGGGTGGAACCCTTCAGTCTAGGGACAACTAGAGACAAAATGAATCTGCTGCTCTAATTATCCCCAACACACCCAAATACAAGGGTCAGGGCATGTGCAGTTAAGGCAAATGCAAGAGGGACAGTTCTGAGGCAGAAGCAGGGCTCTTCCCCTCACAAGAAGGGAAAAGCACTTGTAATCAATCCATGTGACCAGATCTTTAGCAGAACTCTCCACTGAGGATGGCGTAAATAACCCCTCTCCTTGTCTCCCCAGGCTCAGCTGCGCGTCATGATTTCCGACTCACTGTCACTTATATGCTCACAATGGTCATACGTAAATACACGAAGCTCCTAACACAGAAGGGCCGCTCTGCTCGCGAATGTCTGGTAAATACACAGGGCAGGCCAGACCGGCCTATGAGACAGCAAATACCATTTTGGGGAAACAGACTTGGCTAAACACCGTGCTGAACAGGAAGAGCCAACTCAGACACTCAGAGATGGAGACGTGCGTTCTATACAGTTTCTTAATGCTGAGCTCTTCACGGAAGGATACTGGAAGTGGAGAAAGGATGTGTGGGGTGGGAACAAGCGTCCTGGGAGCAGGTGCTGCGTGCTGGGCACCAGACGCCTCTCTGGCAGGGCGGTGAGTGCAGGGTACCTTTAATGTCCCGGTGAACGATGCCGTGCTCATGGAGGACATTGATGGCGATGGCGATCTGCTTAGAGTACAGCCTGATGACGTGCTCCTGCAGCCCCAGCCGCGACACCTCTTCCAGGGTCCCCTCGTCACAGTACTCCATGAAGATGTACATTTCTTCCTGCGAGGAACCAGATGCAGCCCTGTGTTACCTGCACCCTAAGTAAAGACGCTGGACCGCTTCACTGGCCACGCCCCAAAAGGACCTTCTCTCTAATGCTATGCTACACTTGTCGTCCTGAATACGGTCCTAAATTTGTCTTAAAACAGTCATTTCTGACTCCTCCATAGCGGTGGCTCTGCCTGCCTCCTCTGTCTGGAATTATACAGCTAGCTGGGATAAGAACAGCTCCAAACCGCAGGTGATAAATGTCTGTAATTCTCTGAAATTAAGTCTGCTATATAATCTCAGACAGGGACCGACAGGGCTGTCCCTATAAATATATTATTAAGTACTGAAACACATCCTTTTCAAATCTGAATTTGTGAAAACATTAAAAATCACCAATGTCCAACTTCCCCTGGAAGCTCGTATTCCACCAAGATGCTCCAACTTACTCTCTTTCCCGCAAAGTGTTTATTTCTAAACACAAGGGGGAAAAGAATTTGAGGTTTTAATTTTCTCTCATTAGTACATGTAAAATCAAAAACAGCATTACTTCAGTGTGCTCAACAAAAAATGGAAGAAAAAAGCAACTAGAGGCTGTGGAAGGGGCATTAGAGAAATCCTCTGCTTGGCAGGATGGGTTTCAGTGCTTTATAATGCCGGGTTAATGACTACAGTCTACAACTTACATTTTAGGAAGAACTCCTCTAGTTTCAGAGAGAAGGCAGAAATGGTGTAACTCATGGAGATTTCCTGATAATTAGGCAAAGTTACTGTGCTCTGAAATGAGAAGACCTGTGATGTAGAACAGGACTCCATCTGTGCCCTTACTGATTCCTCACACCAAACAGTGTGACCAAAGGTGGCTTACTCTATGCAGCTCCACACCAAAATACCGAACCAGATTGGGGTGTTTGATGCCTTCAAATATTTTCAGTTCGTCTGCAGTTTCCTTGATAGTTTTATGGTCATTGGGCTGAAATCGAATCTGTAAAAGGAAAACTGTTGGTTACTGTTGGCACCGTTACAAACTAGAAATACGCTGACGCTGAATGCCAGAGCAGGGATGCTGACAATTTCACTGTCCAGACCCACAGGACCGTGGTCAGTGGGTCTGTGACTTTACTTCCAGACTTTCTTTACCTTGCTGCTCCTGGTGCATTAAACACGCCTGCTCTAGAACATGTGATGTAAGATAACAGCTAATGGGATCATCTTCACAACTACAAACTGAATTAACCGGAAGCTTAAACAGGAAGTCATCACAGGTGTTCAGGCTCCCGGCAAGAGGAAAAGATGAGACACGATCCTGTCCTTACAAAGTTTACAGCCACGCTGGAACGTGGCGATCATAGCAGCGCGGCTGAGTCCACACGGGGAGGGCGAAGAAGCGCTGCAGGGCTTCAGGAGAGGGACGCAGGCCGGGCCCCGCAAGGGACTGCTGCCTGTGCAGCCACCAGGGGGACCGACCAGCCCCCCCTAGCCCCGTGGCCCTCGGCTCTGAGCCACGAGGGGTCTCCCGGCACGGCCTTCCCCAGGTTGTCCCTGCCCTTGCCATTCTCCCACCTCCAGCTGTTAAACGCTGCTCGTTTCTGAAGTTTATCACCAGCGTTATCCCCCCGCGACAACCAAGTCCCTCCACATGATGCCCCTGCAGACACCGCCCTGCCAGCTTCCACCAAACTGACTTCTGCCTCCCTCCGTGCAGCACTGAGCCCCCAGTGTGGTGCCGGAGGGACCTGTGCTCCGGGGGCCTTGACTCTCACACCATCTCAGCGTGCTGGCCGACTGGTCCCCGCGGTGTAGCTGCTACAAGGCAGCCCCAGGCCTGGCCGAGTCAGCACGGAAGCACTGGGGCCAGCTCTAGGAACCTCATAAACACAGGCTTCAATTCCAAGTGTCTATCACTCAGAGGCTTCATACAAAAAGGCCACAGAGGGTAGAGCACTCACCTCCTTCATGGCCATCAGCTCCCCGGTGTCGACGCTGATGCAGGTGTAGACCTTCCCGTACTGCCCTTCCCCTGGGACAGGAAAAGATACGCTGCTCTCAGTCACCGGAGTGAGGCCGTTTTAACACATTCAAACATGTAACCATCTCTCCCAGTTCCAGATCTATATTTACACATCTATAATTGTGTTCTCTATGGTCTACTATTGCAAGATCTAAACTTTCTGAACATTTCTGACTACCCAGAGCCTTAGGCAATCTTTTCACTAGGTCTTACCTGTAAATTCTAGTGTACAGAGAAGAATGGACTTTGGCAAACCCCGGAAGAGGCGTGAAGGTGAGCACTATGCACCCCAGTGCACACTTCTGAGCCCCTGTGGCCCTGCGGAGGTCTGGGCCAGGATGTGGGGGTTGGGCGTGGGCAGAGGGGTGGCTCAGTGAGCCTGGCTATTGTGCAAATGCACTCACTGCTGTATGCCCAGGGCTGTGGGAGTGGACATTCCACCAACCCACCTTTTGGGGCGTTAAACTACGGGGATACATGGCTGAGCAAGACTGATAACAAGAATCACTACAATTTATAAAGTACTTGATTCCTTTCAGTGTTTTCTGCTCTGACAGCTCTACGAACACTTGTGTGTCCTGAGGCTCACAGAGTCCTGTGTCACAGCTGTGCCTGCTTCTTCAGACCCAAACGCTCAGCAGACAGATGCATTTAAATGGGGAAGATCTGAAATACAGCCGGGCTCCTTTTCTCACAATCTAGTAAAACCTAGTTATTATACAAGAAGCTGTTTCACCTGAAAATTAATTAACTGGGCAGTGTTTTAGAAAAGGCTGCTCTATCATTACTTGTATCCAGTCTCTCTTCAGTAACGGTCTTAAGGGAATAAGATAAAAAGAATAAAGACTAGAACAAACGGGTAAAATCTATATAGTTAGTTCTCCACTGGCAGTTTCTTAAGTTATCAAGCAAAACTACTCAATTTAATGAACGACTGGAAACCCCCTTTCAAAAAATCTCACTTCTGTTGCTCTTAGAACACATTTTACAAATGAAACCAAAACCCAGAACCCTCTACAAAAGATAAAAAGGGTGTGCTTTTGTCATGTCTGAAGAGAAAAGGGCCAACCCTGTAAGATTTAACCTAAAGAAGTATAATTGTTGCTATTTCTAACAGAGCCATCTTTTAATCAAGTTCTGTATTTCCCTTACCAATTTTATTTCCTCTTTGCCACTTAAAGGTCACCTTCCTCAAGCCAACGTGCATGACATTATCGTAGGATTTAGGGGTGTCACAAACTTGACCAATGATATTCTTTCTCCTCATTTCTTGGTATCTCTTCTCTTCGAACAATCGGACTGACTTCTGGATGGCTTCTATGGGTCCTTGCTTAGAAGCAGTATCTGCAGGGAGAATTGCCAACTCAGTAGTCCCCACAGCTATAATCAGGTCAATTTCGGGCAAATAAAAATAAAAACAGAGCAATAAACATTTGCACTCCATCACGGTGTTACTGACTCAGATATACCACAGGGGAATTAAAGTCCATCAAACTCTAACACCTGTAGAGGACACCACCCAGCATATAGATACACACATAACACAGAAGCTGGTCAGACAAAACCGATCACTTCCTCCCCCAAGACTCTTGGTTAGACTCTGCAGTAACCACCCTCTGCGTCTAGGTTTCTCCTCTCTCTCCAGTCCGCTCTCACTGACCAGAATCACCTTACTAAAATACAAAATCTGACAGTGCTATTCTCCCACATAATTTATGTCATGGTCCATCACAACCCATTTATCAAAACTCCAAGGCCATTATGCAGGGTCTATGCGGGTTCACTTCTGTAAGCCACACCCCCTTTCTCCACCCACAGGCTCTGGACCAGCCCTACTGAAAAGGCGCTACAGAAAACAGCAACAGAGCCGCACTCCTCGGCCCTGTCCCCAATTTCCGCCTTCTCACTGCCAGGGCTCTGCACAAATACTGCTCCTCTTCCAGGAAGCCATCTCTAGGGGAGGGAATTAAGTTTTCCTGTCTCGAGAGCAAAGGCTCTGGAATCAGAATGCCTGGAACAAAGCCCGGGCTTCACCATCTTCTAGGTGTTTGACAATCGGCTAGCTAATTAACTTCCTTTACACATCAAATTCCTAATCTGCAAAATGAAGGTAATAATACCTCGTTTACAGAGATATTGTGAGGACTGACAGAAATCACACACATAACGCTTTTAGCCCAGTGCCCGGAACGCAGGAATACTCAGTAAGTTTTAGCTATCTTATAATTTTTATTACTCCTTATTTTCCCATCAAGCTATCTCTATTTCTCCAACTTATTTTATCATGATTTACAGTAAGAAATATCTTTCACACATAGACATCTAAAACAGCAGTTACGAACTTTCTAAGAGCCTGACTTTTCCGACAAAGAGATCATTTAGGATGGGGTGAGTGAAAGGCTACTTTGAGAAAGAAATTCCCAGAGATGTACAGTGGTCCAATTACAGTGTCCAACTACAGTTACTTCTTAAAAACATAGATCCTCGTTTCCTCTACCTCAATACATGCACATCAAGTCTGCTGGGCACTGAGCAAGAGTTCACAGCGGTGAGGCCATGGACTCCACTGTCAAAAAAAAAAAAGGCCTTTCCCAGAAACATTTAACAGTAAAAATTTCTCAAGCTTTCCCAGTCTTTAATATGTCAATGTAAACTGTAACTCTCCCAAGAGTTCCCAAGTTTATTTGACCACAAAGTATTTGTTTTGAAAATTATTACGAAGACCTGGTATCCGTGGGAAGCACTGGTGACGCAAGAGCCGATGGAGAAACCCTGCTCCCCTCACCCAGCCCCGAACTGATGAAATTCCCCACCCCCTCTACCCACATCCAACCTGCCCCTGGACAGCCCAACGCTGCGTCTCAGTTTCTGCCTCCACTCCTTTGCCAGATCCCACCTGAGCCCAAAATCTCATCGTCTGACAATGCATTACTACAGCAGTGTACCAGCCCGTCCCCCTGTGTCCTCCCATTCAGGCAGCAGTTAACCCACCTCAGCCCCTTCCCTCTCTCCGCCCTCCGTGAGCATAGGCGGCTTCAAGCTCAAGAGGCGTCGGGGGCTGCCCGTCACCTTCGGGTAAGGCCTTAACCATTCAGCCTATCGCTGAGACAGACCATGGTCAGATCTCCCCTCGCCCTTTCCATTTCGCCTCCATTGACATCCACACTATCTGGTCTGAGCCAGCTGCTCTATTCTTTAGTCACTGGGCCTCCAGATGTGTTTCTCATTCTGTACTTTTCCTCCTGGCTTGATGCAGACCTGTCCTTCCTGCAAGGGCCAGTTCAAGCCCCAGCGCCAGCCCCCCAGCCCCCACCCCTCAATCCCTCCTGAAGGCTCTGGACCCTGGTGGACCACCCCCCTCCTGCTCAGCCACACATATTGGCTAGGGGCGCTGTGTGGGAAGAGCCCCGGACCTGGAGGCAGAAGCAGTGCATTCCGGCCACAGCTCTCTATTTACTGCCTTGACCAAATTATCTGGCCTGTCAGAAACTGGTATCATTTACAAAAAGAGAACAGGATCTATTCTGCCTGTGGCTCAAAATCATTGTGACGAAGAATATGTGAAAACATTTTGTGGATCATCAAGTGCTAGACCAGGGGTTTTTCCTATTTATTCTTTTGATTTGTACTGACTCTTCACCTGCTTTGTAAGATAAATGCTTTCTCTCAACTTCTTAACATAAGAAATAAAGGGTTACTTATTTCACAAATATTTACGATATTCCTACCATGTACAAAGAATTATGCTAAGGGCCCACCTAGATGATACATAAAGTTAACACAGCTTAAAGAATACAAAACTGAGCAGGCCATGTTCCTGACCCAAAGGAGTTTGTAATCATAAGAAACAAGGAAATGTACACAATCACAGCACATAAGAAAGTGATGTCAGACGTATAAAGGAGATCACAAAGCGTTCACGCAGGTCTAATAATTCAGAAGCTAAAGCATATTTTAGCTGAAACCGCTCACTTTATGCTTAAACATTTTAAGTTCAACATTCTTTCTCTTACCCTTAGTCTGACTGATAAGTGTCCGAAGCTCCCAACTTCTTCGAGTTGACCCACTTGAATCACCTTTTGGATATGCTGGTTCTGCAGAAATATTTTCCATACAAATTAAGACAACAGAACAAATAGGCTCATTTAATTCAAAGCAAGACTGGAATGGTGAGTAGTGATGATTAGTTACCATCAACCTGTCATTTCTGGTGGTTAATTTCCATTTCATGTGAGTGTGAAAAGCTGTCTCTACAATCATTATAGTCAGTTGCACCAAAGAAGGTGTTAGTGGAGTTACAGAACTTTAACTGCATAAACTTCCCACAAGGAATAGACAACAGAACACTGAGCGGAAGCTGGACTCTTTGGAGGCCCCCCTCTGGAGGTCCTGCCCGGGAGCCCAGCCAGGGCTACAGCAGGAGCAACCGCTAGACTCCTAGGTCCGCAGTGCAATAAAACTTCAGCATATCATCAACAAACACAGCGCCACTTCTGTATTTTTAAAGTGAATAAGAGTGCTCTGCAATTAAAATATCAGGGATAATAATTTTTAAAAAGTATTTAGCAACAAAAGTAGAAAATGCAAATACAGCTAAAAAGGCTTCTATGTTAAAAAGCCAATGTGCTCAGTGTTAAGTCTTCTTGCAAAGCTCTGTCGTTTCTCATTCTTCATTTCTGTTAACAGCAGAACTGGCAACAGTAGAAACTGGTGGACCGAGGCAAAAGGTCAGGTCAGCTGGGGACGCAGCTGACAGCCTTACACACTCACCGTCTCGCTCCTCGGTGGGGCTTGAGTGACGACTCAAGGACCTGAACTGCAACTCAGCTGCTATGGAAGCCAAGCGATCGTTTTCAGGGACACTGGAACCCCTGTTTCAATATTGTTAAAAATTAAGCTATCAAGTCAATGGAACTCAGAATGACAGTCCTGTGAGACTCTCCTAGGCAGTGACTCTCAACTGGGGGTGATGCTGCCTGCCAGGAACATCTGGCATCTAGGGGGTAAAGGACAATGCGAAGGACAGCCCCAAACCAAGAATTATTCACCCAGAACGACAGTGCTGCTGCTGAGAAACCTGGCTCCAGAGTTCGGAAGGACAGCAACATTGCTATCCCTCCACAGCCAACACACGAGAACCTGACTGCGTAAGACATTATTTTATGTTAAGAACAGCAACAAAAATTAAAAAAAAAACACAGTATTTACTGAAGTGTCACTAACATGTAATGAAAGCGCCATAATTTAAGCCCACGATGGATCAAAACTATGAGCCAACCCTAGTTAATTTTTGTTTAAAATTATCATCACACCTATATTTCTGTACTTAATTCTGTTAAAAGTGCTAAAATCATTACATGTTTCAAAAGAGCTCAAATCTCTCAACAAGCAATTGGAAAGGAATACCTAACGATTTCTCAAGCAGTAGCCAAGCAAAGGTGCAAAAGAGCAGGAGGCACAACACAGAAGGGACAGAGTGAATCTGCTGCTTTTGTAGAACAGAGCTAAGTGCTCAGCAATCCAGAACGAAGCCATCAAGAGTAAATAAAGCCCAGAATTAAATAAGGGGAAGTGTTAAAACTGTAACTCAAATCGTCCAAAATAAATAAGGCGTTAGTTTATTAATAAGTTTAGTGCCTATTCTTTAAACAATATAATGAAGTATGGTAGCATTTATGCTCTTTTTTTATTATACACTGAGTGGGTTTAGGGCAACAAGGTCTACTGGACAGACGTTCACAAATTATGACATATGCAGTGCTTTTCCATTTCCCTAAACTCTCAAATCCAGTATAGTACTTGTCAAGTCTGAAGACAGGGGGCCATCTTCTCCTGCCATGTAGTTCATTACGAAGTCTTCGTAGTACCATTTCATGGAAAAAGCACTGATGCTCAAGTGAAGACACACATCCCACTCCTGAGCTGTGCCGAGACCGGGACCATGGAGAAGCCGCTCCACGCCTCTGTTTTCCTGATTTCCCAGAAATGAAATTAGCCAATTCCACGTCCTCAGATTTTTGCCAGGGTTAATAGGCAAGGGAACACACTTACATGAAGTTGTTCAGGTGAAAGTTTAACAACTAGCTGCAGGGGGAACGGGGAGGTTGGAGACTTCAACAATTTGTCTGGTGTAACGACTGGTTTGCAAAATTCCTAAAAAATTATCAATCAGCTCTTGCCAACCAGTAAGAGCCAGATCCAGCAAGGAGAACACGGCAAACATTTTTTCCAAACAAGGTAAGATAACTGAAGCCCAGCCTATTTCCTAAGTCAAACCACATCAAATCAAAATATTTATTGGATTTGTGGGGCAAAAAATTTCACTGGCTGATGTATCTCTAAGACATTCTGGGGCTGCACACACACCCACCAATGCCAGGAAGCGCAGGTATCATTCTGCTTCCTCACAGCACGTTCACAACCTGGCACGGCGCCGAGACCCCAGCTTTCGGGCACAAGGCAGTGCATCTCAAGGTCCACCCCACAGGTTCCCCGGGAAGGGCCACGGCACAAAGTTACAGTGAGCGTGTGCCAGGCTGCAGGGCAGCAGCGGGGCTGCTGACCTCGGTTTTGCACCTCTTCACCGGCTCTGCTGGTCTCCACTGTCACGCACCCCTCCACAAAGAAAACTTTATTCTTCTGTAGAAGAAGGCATTCGAGGTGGCATGTTACAATGGTAGTAAAATTTCTAAACCTCAAGGATCATCCTAAAGCATCTATGAAGGACACTTATGAAATTCCACTCACAATGCGCTGAAAAACTGCTTATGCGAAGCCTAGACAAAATGCGTGTGTGTCACTGCTACACCAGCGCACACTTAGTGTACACACCACTGACTTATAAAAGCCTTAAACCGCAGTTCATGAGACCTCTAGTTCTGAAGAAATCTTGTGAGCGGGGAAGCAGCAGATGTGGGACCAGGCACCACGGTTCTGGTGAAGAGTTCTCCTCAACTACAACTGCATTTTAGGGCACGTGGCTTCCCGTACTGTATTTATCAAAAAGACAGCTTCAACCCCCCAACAGGGACATGAAGCCTACGCGGCAATGTTTGCCGTGAAATGTTCTATACATAAAAAAGAGAGTAAATGGGAATTTGTTCAATGTTAATTGTTAATTTTTTTTAGTTGACTGCTTAAGCTGTGAAAGACTGATTTTTTTTTAGGTTACAGACATTTGTCATTAAAAATTAGGAATATTATTTTAATGAATGAGAAAAGTGGAAATATCTGTAGAAATTTGAGACTGTTATAAAGTAAGGCTAAAACATTCTAGTCTATTTTAAACTCTAAAGCTATGTGTCATCTTTCTGCCAACATTATTCCAAGACTGTTTCTTAGGAGCAGGAGACAGAGCACTGAGTTCCTTCACAATTTCATCTTCTTTGGTCAGTTTTGTTTGACTCTATCACCATCCTTACTGGAAGATGAGAACAGTGACAGAGTCCATCCCACCAGGCACCAAGGCGGAATTAAGAGTGACCAGCGTCCCTTCTCCATTAAGTATGGGGCCTTGACGGCCAAAACAAACACGCGAAAAAAAACCCAACAACTAGAAAGGGCAAACTGCAGCATCCTCACTACTTATAGAGACGGAAGACTTCATGCAAGAGACCGCAGTTTTCCCGAAGCTTGCTGAATGCTTGAGCGCTCTCTCCAGTAACGGTCTGTTCCCCACATGAGACACGAACCCCATGAACTCCTTTCTCCAGTTATAAACTACTTCTCATCAACAACTGTACAAATTAGGAAGTTTGGTTAGAAAAATGAACCTCTTAAAAAAAACAAATCACCACCTAATGGTATTAACTAGAAGTCATCTTTGAGTAGCTCCTCAGAAGCTCCTCAGCAAAGGCGCTATTTGCCAAAACCCACGTATCCGCGGGCCCGCTCCTCTCCTCTGATACTCTGTGTAGTTGTTATTAGCAGAGACGCTGGGCATTTGGGCCCATATTCACTCCAGGGCAGTACAAAACTCAGGCAGATTATCTAGCTGCGCTGGTCAGTGCTGGAGCCCCAGGGCCATGACACCCCGCGGGGGTCCTGAGCATCACCCCTGCCACCGGAAGACTGTCCCGCCATGTCTCGGGACGCGCCCCCAGAGCTGAGGTCACTGCAGAGGGGCACACGGGTGGTGGGGGGGGACATGACGCGGGTGGAGTGAGACTACCTGGCATCATGGGCACTGCTGATGGGTTTGGGTGGCGCAGAGTCGCTGCCTGAGGGGCCGGGACGCCCGGCGGCGGGGCTGCCGTGGCTCCGCGCGTCCGAAGGCACGCTCCGGGTGCTGGGAGGAGAAGAGAAGCTTCAGGAACACAGGTGAGAATAGGGGGTGGAATCTCAGTGGTTTTCAATTAAAAATAAAATACGGGGAGGAAGTGAAAAAAAGAAGTTTAAATATTTTTAAAATATTTTAAAATATAAAATGCAAACTGTTCTTTGAGACTCAGGTCTAGATATAAAAATGAAAAATAACTAATTTCACACTATTTAAAAACTGCTGTCCTTTCCTCGGAAATACTGTTGAATAAATTAACTTTAAAAAACTGAGTATACAGGGGAGAAAGGATGCTTGATACCTCAAGATGCAGAAATGCCACCACATTCAAGGCAAGTATTCTGAATGTACTAGAGTTTCAGAACTCACTTTAGTGTTTAAGTTGCTCCGTAATTATATACGCACAAAAGAGCCAAAACTGAAAGGGTCACTCCAGTTTTCCCTCCACTTTTAAACTGACATTTAGTTTCAAATGTTTCAAATGTTTACTATGCTTTGTGCATAGTATGAATTTGTTTTCCTAAAGTTATTTTTCAAAGAAAGAGAAAGAATTATTCCAAAGCTGGAAAGCATTTAGTAGCTTGAGGTTATGAATAAGCTGAGAGGCTAAGTTATCTTGAAAGGTTCAAGTCTATTTTAAATTTGCAGGTCGTCTTCTTTTGCAACTAAGGCAATGTGGTATGTCTTCAAGATAACGAAAAAAAGAGCTTTAAAAAACGTATAAACAAGAACACAGAAAAAAATGCTTAGTTATCAGAGCAAGCATCAGCAGCTCTCAGAGTATTAGCATGCTCATCAGAGAAGAATGCATAAAGCACATGACTAGATACGCGCCCAATACCTGAATCCCTCTGGCGTGGGGATAATTAGATGGGGGTTAGGAGGGTCGCTGTGGCATCGAGGCACCTTCACAGGACGGGGGCTGTTCCGATGAATGGCTGCCAGGGGAAAGAGCGACAAGTGCAACTTGTTAAAGGGCCAGCAGAAAACTGTCAAACCAGACAATTCAGTGGAAATGGGAGGTGGCTGACTTTTGCTGGTGATCAAAATAAAACCATTTATCTAAATAAGAAAATTGTATTATATACATAAATATGAGGAAAATATCACTTTCTGAAAGTTAATAAAGTTCTATTATATGTTCAAACTTTTTTCCATTAAAAACATTTTTAAAATCCTGGCGTGAAACATACATAATGTGTATGAAACCGATGATGTGACCTATTTTAGAGACGGATGAAAATGTAGCTTACGTGGCATCTCTCTACTACAAAGGAGTTCCTTACGTTGCCTACACTTTTAAAAAGAGTCTGGCGACACTTCAACAGGTCCTGAGTTGGGGAGGGGTCACTGTCATTTTCCCGAGTACCTGGAGTTTTATTTAATTCCTTTAAACCAAATGAGGAGGGTGGGCACAGTTTAAATTGGTCCTTTTCAGAACATGTTCTCTTGTCCTTTTAAATATTCTGGTAGAAGGTAAATGTGGATAAAATTTAAAACAAAATTTAAAAACTAGATAAAACTTTAAGCAAAATTTAAGACACCTTTCCTAGTAATTGCAAAAACGCTGACAATTCTGTTTTCCCAATCCCTAGATGTAACCAGTCAGGAACATAGAATTATACTTCGTCTAATTTTCCCTAATACCTTGTCCTCTTATTTTTAACTTTTAAACTCTTCTTAGTTTTTTAAAATGTCTTATTTTCTCTTCATATATTAATAATTTTAGTCTACATATGTTTTATTCCAAATATGTTTTATCCTAAATGGAAATAGTTCTTTCTTCCTCATTTTTGTTTGTTTACCTTTAATAACATTACATAGGAAAGACAGAAGTACGAAAAATGAAGAGATCTTAAGGGAAAACTTGCAAAAAAACACAAGTAATTATTAAGAAGAAATTCAGGTAATTTGTGTCTCTGGCTCATTATCTCAACTATTACAATGCTAAACAGAAGAAATCCAACAGCAACAAAGGCAAGAAGAAAAAAATAACAAGTGTTTTGCTGAGAATGGTGATATCTTTAATTCAGCAAACATTCTGAGAACTACTGAAATATTACCACAAACTTTTCCCATGAAGGTATAAAATAAAGACATTCTGTTAAAACACATGCATACAACTTTAACATCCTTCATGCATGAAAAAGAGTGTTTCTTTAAAGAGTACATATATCTAATTGTTACAGAACTGTGCTACTTCATTAAAAAGAAGATCCAAATGGCCAATAAACATAAAATAGATGCTCAAATTTCACTAGTGGTAAACATTTATTATAGAGATTTTTTTCGTGGCAAAACTAACAAACGTCCATAAGGAAATGGAGGAAAGAATTGTACGTCCCTATGGACACAATGCAAACGCTGAAGAGAATGAATTGGGTGGAACCCTGTTGACATGGAGGGATTTCTATACTTGTCAGATAGGAAAAGCAAGAGGTTAATACCCAGCATGATCCAGTTTTTATGCAGTAAATGCCAGGAAAACAAACAATGCTATGCTTGTGTGATTTCATGGGCATAAAGAAAGGTATGGTAGAATGCATCTGTGTAATTACATAAGCAAACGGAAAATACAGAAGCTTATATACTAGACTGTTATCATTAGTTACAAGCATGGAGCAGAGGGAGAGAAACAAGCAAGCGGAAGAGTAACACCAATGTCCTCTCACCTTCATTAATTTCCCTCTAAGGAAAGAGCACAAAACTAAATGACGACTCCCGCCACGTGCAGAACACTTCAGGTAGTAACAAAGTGCCGTCACCTCCTGAAGCCTCATTAGCGTCTGGTGTTAAGCGCTGGAAGGGGAGGCTCAGAGATGTTAAATGAGCGGCCCCAAGTCCACCTGGCTCCCAGTCCAGGGCCGTCTCCACCACCCCCGTGGCTGAGAGGATGAAGGGCAGCTCACGCCTGCAGGGAGCACTGTTGACCGCCTGTGCCCTGCAGGGCGGGGGAGGCAGAGCACAGCGAGTGCCTCGCCGGGTAGCAGGGATCACCCCTGGGCTGCGCAAGTGGGAAGAGGTTTTTCCTTTTGTAGTATTTTCCCATGTGTACGTTGTCTACATTTTTCTACATGCTTCTACACTGTAGTTTTTTCTACAATGAATATGATTTCTTATGTAATAAAATATTTTAAAGTAATGTTTACTGAATTATTGATCATGTACTTTTAGAGAAATATTATGAGAAGTCAGAAAATCAAAGTACTTATGACAGTATGCTTAATCAAAAGTTTGAAAGAATACAGTATGTTTTACATAAAATGTTCGAGTAGTTTTACAAATGGTAACTTTCATTTCATAGCTGCCTTGTGAGAAAGAGGTATAAACTGAGTGAATTTTAAACACAAAGAACGAAGCACTAAAACCTGGTCTCCTAAACTCTGAGTAGCTACCAAGTACCCTTTAAGATACAGCTGCTGCTCACTTTACATTTACCATTTATGAATTATTTTATTTTGTGTAATTGTAATTGTTTAAAATTTCTAAGTTTTCATTTTTGGGTATTTATTACATAAAAATGCAGTTTTGTTTTTGTTTACTATCTCAAGAATGGGGTCAGACAGCCTTTTTCTAATACACATTTCAAATTTCAACATACACTGTAAAACTATGTATTAACTGTAACTTAAAACTGCAATTTAAGTATATTGTGGAAGAACTTAACTTTTTTTCATAGTAAAACCAAATAGGAATGGAGGGAAAACCAATCAGAAATCTTCTATGTTAGAGAGGAATGGGCACCTGGGAAGCTGCGAGGAAGCCAGCTCGTTCTCCTCCAACAGGTGCGGAAGGGCGGGCAGAACAATCATCCTCACCCACCTCCAGCAAGAAAGGCCCCAGCTGCTCACAGACAACTATTTTCTCCAAGTCTTTCCTCCCCAAAAGAAAAGAATTTAAGGAGGAGAACAGAATGGGAATGTTAATGCACTAAAAAAGGAAAAAAAATGTAGTAACACTGTTGGCAAGCACAGAACACCTGGTGGGGGCATTCTAACCTTCCTGCTAATTGAGAACGACTACCTTGGAGTTCTCTATAGATACACACCTCATTCCTAGAACTTTCATTGTCATTTTCCTGAATATTCTTACAGAACCTCTATACGATTTTAAATGACTGCAATTATAAGACAACGTGCTCACCCAAACCAGCAGGTTCCAGGAGAAACACTTTATTAACTGCTGTCTTACCAAGGTACGAACCTGTAATAGGGCTGTGTGGCTTTCCTATCACGTGGCTGATGCATTCATTCATCAAGGCTTGCAAACTCTAGAAACCAAAGGAAACGGGACAGGAGGAGAGAAAAATGTATACTCTCAATTATATTAGTAGCACCACTTAAGCGTTCGGTATATTTAAAAGAAACATGCTATCCTTAAGAAAATGCTTTCAAAGTTAGTTTAAAAGAAAACAGGTACAGTGCAGTGTACTGTACGTATCAGTTTACATGCAATGTGTGTATGTAGTCGAGCTGTAATAATTTTACCTAATAAAACTGAAAAAGGAAGGGAAAAAAGCTACAGAATGAGAAGACATTGTTCAAACTGCTCTTGAGAAGCTTTTTAACGAAGAATAAAACACTTACATTCTCAAAAAAAGGAAACAGGTATGACATAAATCAAACACAAACTGCACATAACTTAAGATAACAGACACTCCACTTTCGTAAGTAAAAGCAAAGTGGCATTCAGTTCCCTCTCATGCAGTGATGTGTATGAGCGAGGAACTTCTACTTCTGTAATCATCTCTACTGTCTGGAGGCTAAAACGAATGAATTCACATTTGAACAGAGCGTCCTTTTGATCTGACAATTTACCTGATTACTGGTGATAATATTTAACCTTTGGCATCATGCTCTCAAATGACACGCACTGAAGTGAAACAGCTCTCCCCTAAAAAGCAGCAGCACTTTATAAAACACAAAACTGACAAATGTCAATGCAGGCTGCACGACCAACTGCACACTGACTTAGCTGAACAATACTGCTGTAAAGGGAAAAGCGCACTGAATGTCTCACATGCTATTAAGAGTGCTTTAACTCCTCAGCCTCATCATCACAATTATGTGAAAACACTTAAGAAGCACTATTAAATTAATAAAAAGATACACAATCAGGAATAGAGAGTGATCAATTTACTTGGTTTTTAATGGAAAAAACTGAAGAATATCCCATACCAGAAAGTCATCTTCTGGTAGAGCTGAAATAAAAGCAGGTTCAATAGCTTGCAGGAAGTCGAAACCTTGAGTTGCCCACCTGTAACAGGGAAAAGTTTGGTAATCCAAAAACAATCCAGCAAATGCCATGGCAATTTTAATCTATGTGATACTGAAGAACAATCTGACTGGAAAATTACTATCTAGGACAAAGTGCATTTCTTTGTCTATGCATCCCTCGGGGAGTAAGTTTACAGTGTGTTTTGAGAAAGACAAAAATGGCTTCTTCATCAAGGAACTAGCTACCAATTTGTTTTCCATTTATACTAAATAACAGGTGTAAATTTCACGGAGGAGGAAAGGAGGGAGGGCCTGTCCAGAGAGAATGTGAACTCCTTAAAGAGTACTCATTTGGGAACAAATTTTTTTTTAAATGTTTTGCAAAAGTTATAGGGACTTCATGTAAACAGGCTTATTTAAAGAAAAGAGAAAGAAAAAAAAAAAACCTGATCTCCAAAGAGTTCAAAATGCTCCTTTCTGTGTCATCAGCTCAGAACTTCCACATAAAATGTAAGGACGCAAGACCACCAAGCCCACATGAAGGAAACCACCGACATGCTTCTTACCTGGGTCTTGTGCCTCTCCCGCTCTCACACTTGGTTAGGACGTAATTCATCCACTTCCGGGCAAAGCTTATATACTTGTCTCCTATCTTCTGTCTAAACTCGCCAGACATCAAGCGAACCACTTCTTTGTGATACTGTAAGAAGATTTCATGTGCATCAAAATTAAGAAGAAAACAATTATACAAATACCTAAACGCTGTAATGCCATGTCTGTTTAAAACGTCACTTTTCTAAAAACAAAAAGCAAATGCCAGTGACCTTTACATATTCTGAAGAGTATATTCATGCTCAGTTATATTCAGTTTTATTTATATATATATATATATATA